TACCATCGTGAGAATAGAGAATGACGGTTTAGCATGAAAAGTGTTATAGAAAGTGACGGTTTAAGGAAATGGTACTCGGAGAAAGTGGAGTCAGAGAAAAAGCAAGTAATGAAAGAAGGTATCTTTGGTGTGATAAAATTTAGAGTCCACTAGTTGGACTTAAAGTATGAAATTTAAGAATGTGCATAGCAGCTGTTAGAAAGGTATTTAAAAATGTTAGATGTGTTAGGTGAAAATTTGAAAACGGCTTAAAATGCAAATTAAGATAGTAAAAGAACTATATTTTAATTTTATTGTTATTTTCTAATTTTAGAGTATTTACTTCGAGAAAATATTGTAGTTGTGCTAAGTCTACATATATTACTATAACATATTTCAAAAATCGAAAACAAATTGTACACCAACTTTTTATTATAAATATGTAGTCTTATTTTTTCCAGCTTGAAGTTGGATACTTCTAGAAAAGCCATTCATTTACTAGTGGTATCTTAATAATAACACACAGTATTCAGTTTTAATGAAAGCTAGTATTGATCAAACTTTGTTTTATATTATACGATACATTGCTTTACATTTATCATTTCGGTCGCTGATTTAGTATTTATTCATTTCAACTGTTAGCCATTGATTTTAGGGGCATTCTACTAATAATACTGCTGCTATTTCTTTCTGAAAGGTTGATTGGTTGCAGTGGCAGGCCATAAGATAACTTCAAATGTACCTCAGCTAGTGATTTTTCGCCGTTTTGCAAGAACCCTAGTATAGAAGAGTACAGACTAAATCCATCCCACCGAATTTAGATAATTTAACAGGTCTTTCATCTTCACCATTGAGCAGTCTGATAAACTATCACCGAAGTATTTTCCTAAAAACCTATATCTTCTGGACGCTAGAACCGGGCATTCACAGAGAAAATGTGTTATTGTTTCTTTCTCCTGCGGGTTTCCACAAAATATAAATTCAAAAACAACCTAAAGTCCGGCAAAATTGAAAACACATCATGCAATATCGCAATAATAGTCCAGGTGTTTCCATGATCTAATAAGGAAAACTCATATGTGAAAAGCGGTTTCATTTTCAATATTAACTGACAAACTTGAACATTCTGCAAGGATTATTTCGTAAAATTTTTTCACAAAACTAATTTACCATTCATTCAAAATAATGTAATTCGTATTAAAACTTTTGCAAAATCCGCAAATCAACAGTATTTTTTTGAATTTTCTTTTTTTTAAGGAAAACAGTTAAAAACGCCTATAATTTTTATTAAATTTTAATAGCTTTTCTTGAAAATTATTTTGTATAGTAAATTTACTAAAAGTATTATAACTAAAATTTATCTCTTATTCAAACACAGTTAGATCATTACTTATTTTAGGTATGTATTTATTTATTTATTTAGAATTAAAAAAGTACATAACAATTAAAATTAATTTTTAAGTCTTCTTAGATAAAACATTAGTCGCCTTTGCACTCACATAAAGATGCATTTACACATCGAAATTCCATAAAATTTTACGTGCTTTTAACACGATGTGCCCATAAAAAGTATTATTTATTAAAAGTTGTAAAACTTCACGATTGTAAAAACTGCATGTGCAAATTTTGCAATTAATATTTGATTTATTAGATATATTGCAAAACTGAGATTTTTCTTCCAAAAAGAAAAATAACTATACTGCTTCTTTGTATTGAAAAACTTATAAATAGACGTACGTATATAATAATTTTTAAGTTGACCTTTCGCACAATTACCTAAAACAATACCTAACGGTTGTAACTTTTACAAAATTTTCATAAAAATTGATTATTTTTTAAATTTATCTTAATTATTATTATTATTATTATTAGTGTTATATGTTATCACATAGTTAAATTTTTGTCATTTTTAATTTACTTATGTTAGTAAATCCAGTACTATGTAAAGATCGTTTAACGAATAGCGCAAAACATCTTCGTATATATCACTTAAAAGTTTAAGTATCTTACATGACACTTCTCAAAAACAAAAATTTCTAATAATTTTAATGTTGAAGAATTTTATGCAATTTAAATATAGATTTCCCATATAATGATTTCTGTCAACGGTGCGTATGAGCAACCTTTTGTTCGCATTTTACATAAATGCATTTTTATTTAGCCTTTCAACAATAAGAAAAAAAAAACGTTTTTATAAATATATATTCTTTTTATTAATAATATAATAAGATAATTGTAAAAGATACTTATTTTTATTGTTTTAATGTATGAACAAATTAATGTATTTCATTTTGTTTAAATTGAATAAATTTTCTAATATTTTGTACAGTCGATGTTTTCTGCTATTAAAATCAAATTAAATTTAAAAATAGAATATTTAAAATTCTATCAAAAAATTTAATCAAAAATAATTTAAGTCATAACAGCATTATAGTCTATTCAATTGAAGGTGCCAAGTGCAAAAACGTTTCATTATTAAAGCATTTTATAAAGATAAAAATGATCGAATACAATACCTTCGATTCGAATTAACCACCTTCAAATTTATCTATAATACTACTTAAAATTTTAATAAATTGAAATAATAGAAAAATTTTATAGATACATTCATACATTTGTCATCATTTCTCTTTCAAAATTGACCGATAGAGACGAGTTAGACTAACCATTGATGTTTTCGCGTGTAATTTCTGTTAAGCTATTTAGTCTTCCAAATCAAATCAAATCAAAGATCCTTTAAACCCACTTTTGTTATTTCTGTCAGGACAGTCAAGTAATGCTCTCCAAGAGATTGAAATTGCTGAGTAGTCGTGAAAAAAGGCAAAGAAATCGTTTTAATGTTTCTGATTGGCTACTTTGTGAATATTTTGCTATTATTATTTTTGAATATGGCCGAAATATTCAACAAGTTTATACATTTAAATAAAATTTGAGATTAAACAGAGACGTATTTTTTATATAAAAATAAAATTAAATTTATAGCCCACAAAAAATCAATAAAATCAAAATGAAACCTGTTGGTCAATAAAATAAGCGAACTTTGAATATGTTTTTTAAACATATTTAACATATTTAATTAATAATAATTATATATATTTATATAATATATTATACTTTAATATTATATATATTTATATACACATAACTTTGTCCATATGTGCATTCTACACATAGACTACAAATAAGTCTATTATTTAAATTTACTATTAGGCTATACATTTCTCATCTTCATGGATATTTAGAGAGGTTTTTATATAAGACTACAAAAACTTTACATAAACTCAAACAATCGCCTTTTAATCGAATTATAAATCCCAATACACAGGGAGACATGTGGTTAAGTACTTCCAATTGTTCCGATATCTGGAAGCATAATTATTCATCATACCCACACTAGAAATGTGCACTGGTAAACAAAAAATATCGTGTCATAAATCCTAATGTTTTTATAAAAGCATGTAATAGACAGTTAATTTAATTCTATATTCAAATAGACTATAAATATATACTACTTTTGGAATCATGATTTTCAAGGGCTTTCTAGTATAATTAGATCATTTAATTCATTAACTACTCTTAGTGTAAATATCTGCTTTTTTAGCCATTTTTTATGAGGTTTACTCATCTATTTATTTTGTTGAAGTTAAAAATACTAAATCAAATTATACGTGCAGGTTCTTCTAAAAAAAAAACCAATGAAATCATCTTTGATTATAAGCTATCTTTTTGTAACAAAAAAAAAATCTAATAATTTTATATACAAATACGTTGTATAATAAATAGAAAAAAGGTGGAATTAAAATTTACATGCAATCTTTTAATCGGTTCCAACCAAACTATTATCAAATTATCAGGTATCTTTGGAGTTTTTAAAACATTTAGAGAATTTCTTTACTAAGAAAGACGATAGCGTAATTTATTCAGATATATTAGATAGACACTGCCTCATGCTTGTACTCCTCTCCAGTATATCCTAACTATCTAAAAATCTGTGAAAAAATCTATAGATATCACTGCAATTTAATATAAGAGCCATCTGTATGCCTCTATTAGGAAAAAATCCAGCATCGTCATTTAGGTATAACCTAAACTAATCTATAGATACGAAATGCTTATGAAATAGTACTTTTGCGTAAGCGATGTAGATTACTTTTATTAGTTGCTTTGGTGATAGAGTGTTATATATCAGTAACATTATTGCATATTTTTAATAAATAAAAATAGCGACAAAAAATTACCTTAAACCAAAAAGTAAGCAATACACATTCAAATTAAAAAAAAAAATTAATAATAATTGCGTGATGTTTTAAAATGTTTTACTTTTTCCTCTGCAAAATAAGTTCACTATAATTTACAATTATTATATATTTGCCATATATATAATAGATAAAAACATTGTTTGTTGTATAACAACAGCTTTAAACCATCTAATTAACAATAAAAAAATTATTGCTTTTCTCATATGCAATTTAATGCAATTACGTATTGAAATGGCCAAATAATTGTCAGATACAATCAGAAAATTCGTTTTTAACACCATCGGTTGAAATTTTATTGCGTGACTACATTTTTCTTCTCTTAACACCTCATATCTGTTGTCACTAATAATATTTAAAACACGTTTACTACATTTTATAAAAGCACAAATAAATATTGTCATTCCGGGTGAATGATTAAATCTTAATTAACTGCAAATGTGTGGCGTACTCTTTTTAAAGTAAATAACATTTAATTAATATATTTACAATATGGCGGGTGGAAATAAAATATTCTGGTTTATAATTAACTACCATTTTATTAATTTACTTATTTTACTTCAAACAAGTGCAATAAATACTAGAAAATTACGTGCAAGTGCATAGTTCTGTTTATGTTATTATTGGAATTATATTGTTTTTTCACTTTACACAAATTACATGTTTTATAATTATTTAATTATTATAATAATTATATATTGAAATAGTTATGTAAACTTTGGAAAATACAATATGATTAAAAATACACTCAATTAATCGATGTGAAAAACGTATTAATACATTAGATATACGTATCGTTATATAATGTTAAAAGTTGCCAGAGTTTTTTGTGATATGCACTCAATTTACTTACTTAATTGTCATAATAATCCGTTATCGGGTTTCAGTATGAACAACACTTCTCTCTAAGCTCTCTACTGGTCGACTTCCTCTCCAGTCTCTAACGTCAAATGCGAATAGTGCTACCTCAACTTGTTCCCTCCATTGAAGACACAATCAATCTCAACATCACCTTCTCCAAATGCCGCTTTAAGTGCATTTTTAATTGAAGATGAGTGATTGATGATCATCCATTCTCACAACAACTCAACATATAATGCTAAAAAATATTTAGATTCGTTTCGGTGATTGCATCATATTAGACACAACATAAAGTTCATATAAGAATGCATTATATATAGTTCGTCTTTCTATACAGAAAGATATAAACACATATGTCTATAGCAGACATATGCCTGCTATTTAATCAACACGAAGAGAAATTGATATAATTGACATTGTTGGAATGAAAGTTCAAAACTCGTTGATGGATGCTGGATATTCTGACTTGGCTGAAATCAAGCTGACTGAGACTTGTTGCCTACTCTTCATGTTGCTTATCGATTTATATATTGATGTCCCTTCGACACACCAATAGGTATTGGTCAAGTTTTGCCAGACTAAGAATGATGCATACCAAATCTAGAACTTCACATTTGATCAATAGTAACAATGCTTAGATATTTCCAAAATAATATAAGTTCTTATGATATATTAAATACTTGTTTTGTCATTGCCCAGTCATATCAAGATCCAGATTTTAACATATGAATGTGTTATTCTTCAACTCAATCCACAACAATTGAAGTCTAGAAAGTCGCCAAATAGTCAAGCTGGTCAATGAGCTTAGTTTAGTACGAAACACCCGAACCTCTTACTAAAATTAAATGGTATACAAAATTAATAACAATATCCACGGCAATGTTAAAAAACTTTGCACACTACAAATATAGAATTTCTTTATTTGTAATATAGGTAATAAACATAACATTGACCACCTGTTGTATCACTATGCAAGCTTATCTAGATCTAAATTCAGGCATTTAGATGGGCTATTTTTCAGCTGAGTTTTAAGCATCTCCAACCTTGAAACATCCAAATACTCGCTGTCATACGCTCAACTAGTTCTAATATTTGCTGTCGAAATAACAAGGAAGTGTAATCAAAGCGACTTTCTATGATAAAAGAAATGAGAGCTAGAAAAAAGTTTCAAGTAATTAAGGACAGTGGATTTTTTTTAAATTCACCTACCTATTTATCTGTGACCGAAATTGATTGATTGTATCCCGTACCTTTCACTTAAGCTGTGTAATGAATTAATTGATTTTGCATATATTATTTATATTAATTACAGTTACTGTTGTTGGCAGCGCTTTCCGCATTTATGTTGTTGTTCTTTTTGATGCCTGAAAAAATATAACTAATCTTATTAATATTCAACATACTATGTAGTATTCGAGAAAATTGACTGCATAAGTTAGCTACATCGATAGATATTTTTGTATTTTACAGAGACACATAAAATAATAAAAACTGAAATGCCTATTTTAATCGTTTAAAGTCACGTAAAAATGTTAGTACTATTTACATGCAGAGTTGTTAACTTAACATTTTATATATTAGTTTTAAGAATAGTTTGTTAAAACTTCTAATTGAATTCGATGGTATTGAACAGCTTAATTAATGGGTTCAAGTAATTTCTTCTTGTGCACAGCATGAATATAACCGAATTTAATAGCCCATTCACACGGAGTGAGTCTATTTTCATTGAATGCTAATTCGAATAAAGTTATTATCACATAATTGTAATCTTTTAACTAATGAAAGCTGCTGAATTTCAGTAACTGATTTTTGTTTTTTTTCGGGCTTTGTCGTGCCTTTCTAGTGAGCCCTGTATTTCAATAATACTTTGTTCGAATAGCTTAGACTTACTTAATTAATTGGTTATAAAAGCTACTACGGTTCAACAGAGCACTCCTGTACAGAGGTCTCTGCTGCATGCGCGACTTCTTCAGTCTCGTATATCTAATACGAGTAGTGCTACCCTAACTTGATGAATTCAGCGAAGACACGGTCAACCACTACGCCGTCTTTCTCCTACTGCCGATTCATATATGTTTTTCGTTAGAGCATTATCATTCCATTTCACGATATGACTAAGCCACCGGGGCCGTTGGCTTCTATTTGATTATAATCAGACTATAATCAAGAATATAAAATGATATTTAATTCCGTATGAATAAACTATAAAATTATGTGAAATATAAATGTTGTGAAACCCAAGTTTAAAGCAGCTTTGGCATTACATTGTTATAAAAAAATTAAAACTAAAAAGAAATAAAAAATGACAAAATAGTTCTCAAAATGTTTTTTCACAAAATATAAGTAATGCAATCAAAGCATTACTCTGTATTTTTGCATATATCGTTTATATAATAAATTGTTGTGCATTGAAATAAATTTGCATAATATTAACTTAAAATGTAATTTCAAATTAATTTAACTCCGCCCAGTTAGCAAAAACAAATTTGCTCTGGCTACCGAATTTTTTAATATAAAACTTGTACATTATAATGAACGAGTATATGCAAACATTTAAGTACATTATAGCGCTATTATATATATATACTTATGTAGATACATTCTAACCGAATTAAATGCAGTGCCAATACAATTCTGCTATGCAGTTGCACATTTTAGCATACAATTTACACCACACCCATACAATTTTATATAAATGTTGTCATTAGCGCGCATAAACCTACCATCCTCCTTAGAAAACGTACATAAAGCGGCTCCTCTCTGACACTTTATATACCGTCTTTTAGCTCTATTACTACAAGTTTGCTTTTTTTGTACTTTTTGCTTCTTTGCTTCTTTACTTCTTTACTTCTTTACAAGTTTTGTAGTAATATCCTTCAGCAAAATGCATCCGTAGTCTGATGCGTGGCCGTTGCTGCTGTTCCTTTCTCACTTTCCTTTTACTGCACTTGTTAGTGTTACAGCAGTCATTTAACCATTCGGCTTAGCTCGTTTTGTGCTCGTTTAAATCGTTATATTGCACGTTAACTGTTTTTTGCGCCTTTCATGATTTAAACTGCACTATGCTGTATCCGTTTTTTCTTTTGTTTTTTCTTTTTTTTCATTTGTCTCTTTGCCACTTCTGCTTTTATATGTTGCAGCTGTGTTCAAACTATTCATCCGGGGTTGTACATACCAGCGAGCATCATACATGCAAGTATTTTCAATGGATTTTTATGTATTTACATTAATTTTTTTA